CAAAACACTTTGCAGTGGAGTCAGGCATGCTTAGTCAAATTTTTAAATAGTTTGTACCAATTCTCCTATGTCTCATAGTGTCTCATGGCACATTTCAGTCTAATAATAATAGTAACACCTGTAAATGCATATATAGTCATGTGCTGCATTAACTATGTTTTGTTTTGGTCAATGATGGACATACAAAGCAGTATTTTTATTGTACTTTTTCTTTAGATACACAAATACTTACCATTGTGTTACAGTTGCCTCTGATACAGTCACATGCTATACAGATTTGTAGCTTAGGAGCAATAGGCCATACCATCTAGCCTAGGTGGATAGTAGGCTGTACCAGTTAGGTTTGTGTAAGTACCCTGTGTGATACTCACACGGTGATGAAATCACCTAATGATGCATTTCTCACAACGTATCCCCATCATTAAGTGATGCATGACTATATTGAGTGCTTCTGGCTACTGTTCTAAGTACTTTACATATATTAACTTCTTCAGTTTTTACAACAACTCAGAGAGATCAAGTAGGTTGCTCAAGGACTTACAGTAAGTAGCAGGTTGGGTGTGATGGGCATTCTGGCTCCAGGTCAGTGGTCTTGTGCTGGTGCTCCCTGCCATTTGCTTTTTGCATTACTGACACAAAGAACCAGAGGCATCTCATTCTCCCAAAACTGGAAAGAGATTTAAAGGTGTCTGTATTGAACTAGATGGAAAAAAATGTGAAAAACGTTTTTGTTATAGTATATGATTAGGATAAGTAAAACAATATAAATTAATAGGAAAGATACTAAATGTTGAATTTCTATAAAACTTCAGACTCTTTTCAGGGTTTCTAATGAGATAATTGTACTTGCTTCTGTGAACATTAACTTTTCATTTTTAAAATCAGTTTATCCACCAATGAAAATATTCAGTTCCTGATCTAGACTTTTAAATAATGATTTCTTAGGATTGAGTGTCCATTAAAACTTCATTTGTATGAGGAGGTAATAAAAACAAGCAATTTTTATCTAAGCATTCAGTAATTTGCAACAATTGGAATTATTTTTAAATGATCTAACAGCTCTTTTCATCAAAAATGTAATAGAAAATTTCTTGTGATAAATATGAAAGGATTTGGGGCAGTTGCGGTGGCTCATGTCTCATGTCCCAGCACTTTGTGAGGCCAAGGCAGTAGGATCACTTGAGCCCAGGAGTTTGAGACCAGCTTAGGCAACATAGGAAGATCCCCATCTCTATAAAAAGTAGAAAAAATTAGCCAGGCATGGTGGCACACACCTGTAGTCCTAGCTACTCAGGAGGCTGATGTGGGAGAATCATTTCAGCCCAGGAAGTCAAGGCTGCAGTGAGCCATAATCAGGCTGCTGCACTCCAGCCTGGGTGACAGAGCGAGACCCTGTCTCAAAAATAAACAAATGAATAAATCAGTGAATGACAGGATTTCAGATTCAATTGGACTTTCTAATTTCAAGTGTTTAAAAGTAATGACAAAGTTCTAGGTGACAGAAAGCATATGCATTGTTTGAGCAGTCACCTTGCAGCTAGATTTGATGTTGCTGAAAATGGATGTCACTGGCAAATGGGGAAAAATATAATCAATACAGAGATTTAAGGCTGTTGCTTTAAGGAAACCTTGCTCCCTAGATTTTGGGCTCCCCCGTTCTTGACTTCCTGCTTATTCTACTGCGTGCCTTGCTGTTGAGGCACCTTGAACATAATCTTCCAACAGTTTTACAAGCCTGTCTATAATAATGGGTAACAGTGCATTCTGCAGTTGTCTGATGAGGTAGATTACTAGGACTTGGAGCACTTCCCTTTTCATAGTTGACATAACTCCAGAGTGGCATGTGCAGGAGCTACCCACTGAGGAGCACCGGATGAGGTTGCTTGTATCTGGAAGTGACTGGAACAGAGGCTCTTACTTTTTCAGGGGTTTCTGGCTGCCCCAAGGCCTAAGGGAAACTGTCTAAGGATACCCTGGTAAGATAGCTCTGTCTTATGCTACAGAAATAAAATTTCTATGAGCCTTGGAGAGATGTTTCAGAATAGAAATTTATGAACATTTAATGCATGCAAATAATCCATATATGAAATTCACAGTTTTCATATCAGTCCTAGAATGGAAAGAGATTTCTTTGTGTAAGTTATAAGTCATGATAAGGCTTCAATAAGCAATCTGAAAATCTCAGCAGCTGAAAGCAGCAAAGTTGCTTTCTTGCTCAAGCTGTTTGTCCATCACAGGTTAGTGAGGGGGCTTTGTTCACTGTGGTTGCAGACTTTATTAGATCTGGCTGATAGAGATTCCATCTCAGTATATGCTTCTGCAATCACAGAGGCAAGGAAAAGAGGACACGTTGAACCACACACTGACTTGTAAAGCTTTTTAAAGTTTATATTTCACTGGCCATAGTAAGTTACCTAGTTATGCCTGCCTTCAACAGAGAAGTGATGTATAGTGTAATTCCCCTTCAGGGAGGGACAGTGAATATTTGTGAACAGTAATACAGCTGCCACTTCCAATTAATAGCCCCAGCATTTAAAATCGAATATAATGATAGTTGAACAATTATATAGGATTATTGTACCTTGAGTGCTCAAGAAAGTAACATTTTATATAGGATTGTTACTATTTTTTTGAGAGAGAGTCTGACTCCGTTGCTCAGGCTGTAGTCAGTGGTGCAATCTCAGTTCACTGCAACCTCCACCTCCTGGGTTCAAGAGATTCTCATGCCTCAGCCTCTGGAATAGCTGGGATTACAGGTGCGCATCACCATGCCCAGCTAATTTTTTGTATTTTTAGTAGAGACAGGGTCTCACTATGTTGCCCAGGCTGGTCTCAAACTCCTGGCCTCCAGTGACCTACCCACCTCAGCCTCCCAGAGTGCTGGGATTACAGGTGTGAGCCACTGCACCCGGCCTATAGGATTATTTTAATAAAATATGTTGAGGTTGAAGCAGAATTCATCTTTTCCATAATATTTCTGGAATTTCTTTTCCATTTTGAAACATTTTCTCCTTTGTCATAACTTATGAAACTTTCATTCCCATGCTTGCAGGAAAGATTGGAAGCAAAAATCTGTCACAATTTATCATGTGGTATCATCTCTGTACATTGTCATATTTTGTCTTGATTTGCATATTTCTAGACACAGAAGCAATTTGTCTTAACATGATATTGTAATAAAAATGCTATAATTGGCCGGGCGCGGTGGCTCAAGCCTGTAATCCCAGCACTTTGGGAGGCCGAGACGGGCGGATCACGAGGTCAGGAGATCGAGACCATCCTGGCTAACATGGTGAAACCCTGTCTCTACTAAAAATACAAGAAAATTAGCCGGGCGAGGTGGCGGGCGCCTGTAGTCCCAGCTACTCGGGAGGCTGAGGCAGGAGAATGGCGTGAACCCGGCGGGGCGGAGCTTGCAGTGAGCCGAGATCGCGCCACTGCACTCCAGCCTGGGGCACAGAGCAAGACTCCGTCTCAAAAAAAAAAAAAAAAAAAATGCTATAATTTAATGACAGCTAGACAGCATCTTCAGACCTCAGTTCACTGTGATTTTTCTTCGTTGTGTACCAGAAACTTGAAAGATTTCCGAATGTTTTTCTGGTTACTTAAGGTGGAAGATTGAATATGTACTTCTCACTTTTCTTCCCTCCTGAAAACATACAAACGATAGCGTGTGGTTGGCTTTCAGAATGGATCTTAATGATCCTTACTTCTTAGTATTCACCTTTACATAGCCCTTTCCCACAATGAATAGGGTGGACCTGTGTGATAATGTGATGTAGTAAGAAATATATATGTAACCAGTGGGATATTGTGGAAATGACAGCAGTTCATTCAGATATGAGCACTGTGAATCAAGACATAGGATAAAACTATAAAGAAAAGCAAAGGAGTAAGTTATACAGAAATCGGGATACTTGTTACCTCTGGCTGGTGCAGTGGGGGAATGCAATTGGAGAGAAGCATAGGAGTCAGTTAACGTTTTGTTAACCTTTGTGCTGGCTACTTGGAGTGTTCATCTTAATTTTTTCAAACCAAATACTTTGTTCAGTTTCTGTGTACCTGAAACATTTCAAAATACAAATTTCTGAGTTGCCGTTCTGTTAAGACAGTCTGTGTCTTTTTTAATTGGAAGAGTACTTAGTCTTCTGGTTGTTACGGGGCTTCTTAATTTGGACTTTCAGATTAAGGTTCAGCAAATCTAGGTCCAAGTGGAGACTCAGCCACTAACTTCCAGAAAGAACTAAGGGAAGTCACATAACCAACTTAAACTCCACTTACCTTAGCTGTATAACTAAAGGATTTGGATTAGGAGCTACTGGGGGACTTCTAAGATCCCTTCTAAGTCTAAACGGTTGTGGAAAAGCTGACAGCACATGACATGAAGCTACACTCACCTATGCTTGCATGGAAGCTAGTGAACTAAAACATAATGCAGAAGGCATTTTGAAAAGTTTCCTTTGGTTGAGAGAATTTAAGCTCTTTATTTTTGCTGTCAGTTCTAAATCACAGTCTCCGGAATCAAACTTATGGTAGTATTTTATATATGATAAAAATGGTATTCTGTCTTTACTCCTTTTTTTCTTTTATTGGAAGTTGGGAGTTAACATGTAGTTGGACTAAAGATCTTTTTTTGTGTATAATGAAACAATGATACTCTTTTCCACTCTAAACCATATTGATTTAGAATGTTCTTTATAAATATGTATATATTACAGAATTATTGAGAGAGGAAAACCATGCATTTTTAAAGTATACATGGAAAAATGAGCACATTATATCTGTGAAATCTTATGTCATTTTTCTATTGTAAAATGTTACATTGCTTGCTTAAATATAAAAGTATGTTACTGCTAATAGTGCTGTGGGTATTAATCCAAATTTACTAAAGCCAGTGTCAGAAGAAATTTACTTTATATACATATGGTTGTTTTAGCATCTACAACAGATTTTACTGAGTGTTTGTTTACCCATCTGCCTATTCTTCTCCCTCCCCACAGAAATTGTTCTTGACAGAAGTATTTTAAAAGAAAAATCTTTACAATGGCCTCAGCAGTACTTAGTTCTGTTCCCACTACCGCTTCTCGTTTTGCCCTGTTACAAGTGGATAGTGGCAGTGGTTCTGATTCAGAACCTGGAAAAGGTAAAGGTCGAAATACTGGAAAGTCTCAAACTTTAGGAAGCAAGTCAACTACAAATGAGAAAAAAAGAGAGAAAAGAAGAAAAAAGAAGGAACAGCAACAGAGTGAAGCAAATGAGGTAACACTTCAAATTATTTGTGTTGTCTGCTTTCCCAATAGACGATAATCATCCTGAGAACAGATACTAGCTTGTTCACCTATGTATTCATAGTACTTGTTACGCAGGTATTCTGTAAATATTACTTCAATGAATGGATGTGAATTTGTGTATATTTAAAATAAAATGTAATGATCTTTTTTTTTTTTTTTTTTTTTGAGACAAGCTCTCACTCTGTCACCTAGGCTGGAGTGCAGTGGGATGATCACACTTCACTGTAGCCTCAACCTCCTAGGCTCAAGGTGTCCTCACACCTTAGCTTCCTGAGTAGCCGGGACCACAGGCACACACTGCCATGCCTGGCTAATTTTTGCATTTTTTGTAGAGATGGAGTTTTGCCATGTTGCATAGGCTGGTCTTGAACTCCTGGGCTCAAGCAGTCTGCTTGCCTCAGCCTCCCAAAGGGCTGGGATTACAGGCGTGAGCCACCACACCCTGCCTGAACATTTTTAAAATACATTTTTTTCTGACTTTGGAAGTTTGTGTGTTCATTGCATAAAGTTTAGGAAAGTCTTAAAAGGAAGCAAAGGTGACTTACAGATATGACCAGAAATATAACCAATTAATATTTTGGTATGTGTTTTCTGTACACATATATACATGTATATGAATATATACATGTATATATATATCTGTGTTATACTTAAATGAAGATGGGATTATTTAATAGACTTTCATAACTGGCTTTTAAAAAATATTAGCCACGAGCGGTTTTCCGTATTAGTAAATACAGATCTCTGTTATTTTAAATGAATCCACAGTTTACAATATTTAATTATGTGGTTATTTCATACTTTATTTAATTGAACTCATGATAAGCATTTGGGTTGTTTCCTGTTTTCTACCGTTATAGGCAAAAATCATATGACTAGTTGTTTTTGTTTTTTTGAGACGGGGTCTCATTGTTGTTACCCAGATTGGAATGCAGTGGTGCGATCTCGGCTCACTACAACCTCTGCCTCCCAGGCTCAAGTGATCCTCCCACCTCAGCCTCCCAAGCAACTGGGACCACAGGCACACGCCACTACACCAGGCTAATTTTTTGTATTTTTGGTAGAGACAGGGTTCATCATGTTGCTCAGGTGATCCACCCACCTTGGCCTCCCAAAGTGCTGGGATTATAGGTGTGAGCCACCGCGCCGGCCTCTCTCTGTTGCCCAGACTGGAGTTCAGTGGCATATAGCTCAAGCTCACCGTACCCTCCAACTCCTGGGTTCAAGCAGTCCTCTTGCCTCAGCCTCCCAAGTAGCTAGGCTAATTTTTTTTTTTTTGTAGAGACAGGGTCACAGTACATTGCCCAGGCTGTTCTCAAATTCCCGGCCTCAAGCAATCCATCTGCCTCAGCTTCCCAAAGTGCTGAGATTACAGGTGTGCAACTCTCTTTCTGACCCTCTGTGACTCGCCTTGAATGTACATTTTTATGCATTCGATGGTCATTTTTTTTTTCTGAGATGGAGTCTTGCATTGTCACCCAAGCTAGAGTACAGTGCCATGATCTCAGCTCACTGCAACCTCCACCTCCCGGGTTCAAGTGATTCTTCTGCCTCCGCCTCCCAAGTAGCTGGAACTACAGGTGCATGCCACCACACCTGGCTAATTTTTATATTTTTAGTAGTGACGGGGTTTCACAGTATTGGCCAGGCTGGTCTAGAACTCCTGACCTCGTGGCCGGGCGTGGTGGCTCAAGCCTGTAATCCCAGCACTTTGGGAGGCCGAGATGGGTGGATCACGAGGTCAGGAGATCGAGACCATCCTGGCGAACACGGTGAAACCCCGTCTCTACTAAAAAATACAAAAAACTAGCCGGGCGAGATGGCGGGCGCCTGTAATCCCAGTTACTTGGGAGGCTGAGGCAGGAGAATGGCGTAAACCCCGGAGGCGCAGCTTGTAGTGAGCTGAGATCCGGCCACTGCACTCCAGCCCGGGCGACAGAGCGAGACTCCGTCTCAAAAAAAAAAAAAAAGAACTCCTGACCTCGTGATCCACCCGCCTTGGCCTCCCAAAGTGCTGGGATTACAGGTGTGAGCCACTGCACCCGCCCATTTCTTTTCTTCAGAGTAAAAACTGTATAGAAGGCCCTTTTTTCCTAGACATCCTTAGCATTAGTTATATGACCAACATTTAATGTGCCCATTGTTTTTAAAAGAAATGCTGAAATACAACTCTAGTATGTGTTTTGTTTTAATAGAAGGAGCAGTTGGGTATATAAGGACCTTCCTTATTATTGTTTAATGAAAGAAGTAGTAAAAGTGTTTTATTCTCATAGTAATGTCCCAAGACTTAGAAAAAAGCATTTTCACTTTATATTTTTCTATTAAATTTCCATCTCCATTGCTTTCTAAATATTCTTTACAATGCTATCCACACAGTTACTTTAAAGGAAAGACATTTTCCTCACTAGATGATAACCTTTCAGAAGTCAGATCTTTCAGAACTTTTGATTGCCCACTATTTTCTTTTAGGAATTAAGATGATTTGCGGAAACAGAAAATAAGGCAATAATGGAGTTTATATTAGAGAATGAGAAAATGTAAAACAATGAGTGTGAAGGATCCTCCCTTTGCACTTCAGCCATTTGCAGTTCTATCAGCCTTTACTTTCTGTAAAGCAAACAGCAGCCAACCTACCAGTGCTTCATTTCCAGCAGCATCTCCTCCTGAATGTCCTTTCCAAGTCAGAAACCAGCTACTGGTGGTGTTTCTATCTTATTTCCTTTTATAGAACAATGTACTTGGTAAAAACCGCAATTACTTTTGCACCAACCTGGTATTACCGGTTAAAATTGTTAATCCACAATTGAAAGCCTCTTTATTAGTTTCTTAGGGCTGCCATAAAAAAATACCGCAAACTTGGTGGCTTAAAACAACAGAAATTGCCGGGCGCGGTGGCTCACGCCTGTAATCCCTGCACTTTGGGAGGCCGAGGCGGGCGGATCACGAGGTCAGGAGATCGAGACCACCCTGGCTAACACGGTGAAACCCCGTCTCTACTAAAATACAAAAAATTAGCCGGGCGCGGTGGCGGGCGCCTGTAGTCCCAGCTACTCGGGAGGCTGAGGCAGGAGAATGGCGCGAACCCGGGAGGCGGAGCTTGCAGTGAGCCGAGATGGTGCCACTGCACTCCAGCCTGGGCGACAGAGTGAAGACTCCGCCTCAAAAAAAAAAAAAAAAAAAAACAACAGAAATTTATTTTTCACAGTTCTAAAGTCTAGTAGAGTTTCAAATCCACACGTCAACAGGGCCATTCTCTCTCTGAGACTCCGTGCCTCTTCTAGCTTCTGGGTGGCAGCTGTCAATCCATGGCATTCCTTTGGCTTGCTGTGTCATCACCCCAATCTCTACCTGTGTTGTTATGTGGCATTCTCTATGTATCTGTGTCTTCACCTCTTTGTATAAGGACACCAGTCATATTGGATTAGGGCCCAACCTAATTCAGCATGACTTCATCTTAACTTGATTACATCTGTAAAGACCCAAATTCCAAATAAGGTCACATTCATGGACACTGGGGGTTAGGGCTTCAAGGTATCTTTAGGGAGGATACAGTTTGTTAAAAACTTCAGATAAATTAAATTGAACAGTTCAAATGCGCAAAGACCAATTCACAATTCAGCAGCCCCCAGAACCAGAATAGGTTCAGAGCTACTCCTGGGCTGTCAGATGGTCAGGTAGTATTTATGGACGGAAAACAGAAGTGAGGTACAGAAACAGCTGGACTGGTTACAGCTCCACCTTTGCCTCATTTGAACATAGTTTGACAGTTAGCCACCTGTGATTGGCTAAAACTGGGTGATTGGTACAAAAGTAGTTTACAGTTTGTTTATATATTGTTAGGTTATAGTTCACTATGTATGGAGAAACTTTCAAGTTGAACTTAAAATATGTAAAGAGGCAGTGGGGGCCAGGCGCGGTGGCTCATACCTGTAATCCCAACACTTTAGGAGGCTGAGGTGGGAAGATTACCTGAAGTCAGGAGTTCAAAAAGTAGCTGGGCGTGGTGGCATCCAACTGTAATCCCACCTGTTTGGGAGGCTGAGGCAGGTGAATTGCTTGAACCTGGGAGGCGGAGGTTACAGTGAGTGAGATCGCACCACTGCTCTCCAACCTAGCGACAGAGCGAGACTCTGCCAAAAAAAAAAAAAAAAAAAAAAAAAAGTAAGGAGGCAGCTTTATACTAAACTGCAGAGCAGGGCTAGCTCATAGGCAGTACGCCCAGTCTGCTGGCGAAACTTAATTTAACAAATTCAGTTCATAACAGCCTCTCAGTATTTTTCTCTCTTGTTTCAACTACTTTGTCTCAGATTATTTTTATTGTTGGGAGTGGCTTGGCCCATACTGTTTTAGTTGATTATGTTACTTTGTGGACTAGGCCCTGTATTTTTTAGCACTAGCAAAGTAGTTGTCAGAGTTGTTTAGGCGATCTCTCACTATTTAAACTTTTAAATGTGTATGCTTCTGAGCTATATTGTTTTGCATTTTATTTTATTTTTATTTTTGAGACAGGGTCTTACTCTGTCACCCAGGCTGGAGTGTGGTGGCATGATCACTGCTCACTGCAGCTTCAACTACCCAGGCTCAGGTGATCCTCTCACCTCAGCCTCCTGGGTAGCTGGGACCACAGGTGTGTGTCACCACACCCGGCTAGTTTTTTTTTTGTTGTTGTATTTTTTGTAAAGACTGGGTTTTGCCACATTTCTGAGGCTGATCTCAATCTCCTGGGCTCAAGCAGTCCACCTGCTCAGCCTTCCAATGGGCTGAGATTACAGGGGTGAGCTGCTGAGCCCGGCTATGTTTTGCATTTTAAGAGCACACTTGTTTTACTGTTTTCTACTCCTATAAACTTCTCTTTAGTAAAGAAGAATGATTAAAATGGAGGTATAATAGAGTATAATACATTTTTCACTTAATCATTTCATTTCTCTACCAATATTATCTCAAATGCTGGCAAAATTAACATTCTACAAAGATTATACAAAACACAAATAATAACTTTAGTTGTGTGAGTTAGCAAAACGAGTGGAGTAGAAGTATAAAAATACCATTTTTTTAAATTAAAAAAATCATTAGTATCCCAGGATTGGTAAACTGAATTTAATATATTTTTTCTTTGTTTTATTATAGCTCAGGAATCTTGCTTTTAAGAAAATTCCCCAGAAATCCTCCCATGCTGTTTGTAATGCTCAACATGATCTTCCATTGTCAAACCCAGTACAGAAGGATTCACGAGAAGAAAATTGGCAAGAGTGGAGACAAAGAGATGAGCAGGTACAACTACGTAAATAAAATTGTTTTGTTATTCATTGAATTTATGGATTTTTCAGATGGCAGTGCCTCTGAATTCATGTCACCACTGTTCTGAGAAGCAGTTTGTATTGGATTAATTCACATTTGCTGCTTTTAATAAGGGGTTCTGTTTTTGATCTACTCAAAAACAAAATTGTTACATTTGTTGTTTATGTTAGTTTTGGCAATACAAAGCAGTTATTTTGTGGTTTTAAAAATCATCTGCCTTTTACAAATCAGGGAGAGACAGGGAAGGTAGGGGAACAGTATTAAATTATTCCAAGTAAGAAAATCACATTTGTAGGGCAGAGGTCTCTTGTTAAAAATACACAGTGACTAGGCTGGGAGTGGTGGCTCGCACCTGTAATCCCAGCAATTTGGGAGGCTGAGGCGGGTGGATCACTTGAGCCTAGGAGTTTGAGACCACCCTGGGCAACATAGCAAAACGCTTTGTCTGCAAAAAATAGAAAAATTAGCTGGGCAGGGAGGCGCACACTTGTGATCCCAACTACTCAGGTGGCTGAGATGGGAAGATCACCAGAGCTCAGGAGGTGGAGGCTGCAGTGAGCCGTGATTTTGTCACTGCACTCCAGCCTAGGCAGCAGAATGAGACCCTGTCTCAAAACAAAAAACAAAACAAATAATAGTGACAGTTTTGCTTAAAAAAGAAAGCTTTTGGGAAACTTTACCGTTGTTTCTTTAACCTGTTTACATGATACTTTGTTCTTCTATGTCTCTATTAAATGTCATTAAAAACCAAATAAAATAGATAACTCATTAAGACCAATACATATCTTTTTTTGTGTGTGGAGTCTAGGAAAATAACATACTAAGCGTGGAATGTACTCTAGGAGATGCTGTATGTATATAGTAAGTGATGAGTTATTTATTTGCCTGTCAGACTATCATTTGATACATTCAGAATGAGTATCGTTCTAGCAGATATTAGGTCTAGTAGAGTGGCTATTTCTGTCATTCTTGGGTTATCAGTTTTAAAATAAATAGACTATACTAAGTTATTCTCTTAACACAAACTATGCTAATTATAACATTTTCTTTAGGATTTTGCAGTGCCTCAGGCTCATCATTATGAGCATCAGTTATTACTGTAGAGCCATGCAGTAGTGCTGTTCAAATGGCAGTTCCAGGCACTGGTATACTGGATAAATCATCTTGTACTGTTTCTAGGGGTTGATTCTTTTTTTCCTTATAAAATATTCATTATAACCGATTCTTGTTTACAAAGATAAATGTTTTAATGATCTACTTGTTTAGCCAGTAATAGAATTTGCCAGTGTCTTCATTGGAGAGAATTTCTCCCAGTGGTCTAAAGTGCACTGGAGAACTAATGGAGGAAAACTACTCAAATTTGCACCAAAATAAATTCCATGCAACATGGGAACTTGATCACAGATATCTGATTGCCTTTTCTTCTGCTCCTACTGATTGCTGCTGAAATGAGCAGGTAATGATGAAAAGGAAATAGTCTAACTTGGCCCTGATCCTATATAAGGATGCCATTGAAGGCCCAGGAACTTTGATGAATTTCTGCTGAGTATACTACTGATGGATCACTTAGGAAGACTTAGAACCTTATGTGGGAGCCTCACTTGGAAGAAAATAATGTGTGGAAGTAGAGTAGATCTTGGGATAATTACGCTGAGAGGTGAGGAAGAGATAAGGGCAAGCCTTGCAACTGATGGACAATATACTGTTTGGAATCTATTTTATTATTACTAATAAATTAATAATAGATTTCAAAAGTAGCTACATTTAGAGGGATCAGGCAATGACTATATACTAGGCAGAAAGCATACAGTGTGGTGGGTGTTCTTCCTGACACAGTATGAGAAATTTCCGGGATGGAGGGCTGAGCCAGACAGAAAGCTGGACGTGGAAAACTTAGCTGTTATTTGGCTGCTTATGTCAAACACAAAATAGAAATTATGCTAGGAACAAAGTTTCCTAATCCTAAATCACCATATTGATAATGCAAATTTACATCAACTAAGTCTCAGCATACAATCTGAGAGCTAGAATTAAACACCCAACCAGATGGACAGTAGGAAAGCACCCAGTTCGCCTATTTATGAGCAAACACTAGATCTCAGTTGATCTCATGTCAATGGAAGAAAAGTTTCTGCCACATGAAGGAAAAGAACGTTGTACTTAGTGTCTGGAGTGAAAGCACACCTTGAAAAAGATTTGCTGCAGGAAACGGAAGTCAATTTTAGATAGCACCTGTGTTTTGCTTTAATAAAAATCAAGAGGCTAGAACATTTTATAAAAGTCAAGGGGATAGTAATGTTATATAACAAGGTAAGATAAAATAATGGACTAAAATGAAAAAGTGACTGAGAGAAATTAAAAGGGAAATGGGTGAATTAAAACTGAGACAGGACCGGGCACAGTGGCTCACACCTGTAATCCCAGCACTTTGGGAGGGAGGCCTAGGTGGGTGGATCACCTGAGGTCAGGAGTTCGAGACCAGCCTGACCAACATGGAGAAGCCCTGTCTGTACTAAAAATACAAAATTAACCAGGCGTGGTGCTGCATGCCTGTAATCCCAGCTACTTGGGGGAGACTGAGGCAGGAGACTATCTTGAACCCGGGAGGTGGAGGTTGTGGTGAGCCAAGATCATGCCATTGCACTCCAGCCTGGGCAACAAGAGTGAAACTCCGTCTCAAACAAAACAAAACAAAAGTGATATGGGTGAATTTTAAAATTTAGCAAAATAAACTCATAGCAGATTAAAAACTTAATTAGAAGGACCAGAGTATCTACAAAGCTGAGCCAATTGTGTGAAGGGAAATTGGAGATAAGTTTTTCTGATAAAATTGACATGATAGATTGGAACACTGAATTTAAATCCAACAGAGGCATAATTAATGTCCCTGAAACAAATAGAACAGAGGCAAGTATTAAAGATTATGTTGATAGGCCGAGTGCAGTGGCTCATTCCTATAATCCCAGCACTTTGGGAGGTTGAGGCAGGAATATTGCTTGAGGCCAGGAGTTTGAGACTGGCCTGGGCAACATAGTGAGACCCCAGCTCTACAAAAAAGAAAAAAGATTATTTTGATAAAAATTTCCCTAAGCTTAAGACTTGAATCTAAGCTTGAAAAGAACACCAAATTTAAGTCTTTTAAGAATTAGATTCTAATTTTAAGAATGAGGAATAAGGAAATAGTAGTATAAATATATGCACAGGAGAAAACTGGTTGCCTACACAGGATGAAGAATCAGGCTGGCTACTTTAAATACTAGAACCAAAATGTTAGGACCAAGAATTCCACATCTAGCTTAGAAGTCATTTGTGTGAATGTGAAAGAAACACACTCAGGCCCAGTGCAGCAGGTCATGCCTGTAATCCCAGCACTTTAGGAGACCAAGGTAGGCAGATCACTTGAGCCCAGGAGCTCGAGACCAGTCTAGGCAATATGGCAAATCCCCATCTCTACAAAAAAAATGCAAAAATTCACTGGATGTGGTAGCGCATGCCTGTAGTCCCAGCTACTCAGGCTACAGTGAGCTGTGATCACGCCAGTGTACTTCAGCCTGGGTGACAGAGCGAGACCCTATCTCAAAAAAAAAAAGAAAAAAGACACTCTCAGACATAACAATAACTGAGAGAGTATACCACCATTATCCTTTCTGCAAATTTTTCTGAGATGTGCTCTTGCCAATTAAAAAGGAAATCTAAATGAAGAGTACAATTAAAACACTAATGGTGAGTAAGCTGGTTCAATAAATAATTAACTCTTAAGTAGTAGCTAACTTGTATCTATCCCAGCACACTTCATTGTGGAAGAGTGGTCTTATATTCGCTACCCATTTATTTGCTTAGATGTATATATCAAAAGGTGTTTATGTTTCTTAATTGAAATGGGTATCATATGATATATGATGTATAAAATGATATGTAAATTATATCCCAGTAAAGCTGTTTTTCAAAAAAACATGTAAGTCATGGTTTTGACTTGGTTGTATGCATAATTTTCACTTAAAAAAAAATTTTTTTTTTGAGACAGAGTTTCGCTCTTGTCACCCAGGCTGGAGTGCAGTGGCACGATCTTGGCTCACTACAACCTCCACCTCCCAGGTTCAAGCGATTCTCCTGCCTCAGCCTCCCAAGTAGCTGGGATTACAGGCATGTGCCACCACGCCTGGCTAATTTTTTGTATTTTTTTTTTTTTTTTTAGTAGAGGCAGGATTTTACTATCTTGGCCAGGCTGGTCTTGAACTCCTGACCTCAGGTGATCCCTGGCCTCAGCCTCCCAAAGTGCTGGGATTACAGGTGTGAGCCACCATGCGCAGCCACTGTTTTTTAAAATGATTAAATCAAGATCAAGAAACATACTGTTCACCAACAGCTATTGTCTATGAATAAATCTCTGTGTAGATTTTTTTAGGTATAATCTGTTTTATTCATGATGCACTGATATTATTGATTCCAGTGTACCTTTTTTAAAAAGTCATGACTTAAAAAATAAGTAGAAAAATCTCTTAAGGGTTTCAGTGATTAACAGACCGAATTTTATTGTGTATTTCTTCTGTTACTGTATTGATTCAAAGTCTACACGTGACTGGTATTTTTCTCACTCTGATGTGAAATGTCTGTTAGTATGTCCACAATAGCAAGTTCTCTCTTATGTGACATCCTTCAGTTCATTTGATAAAGGTTTTTTTCCAATAACTTGTTCTGGTTTTGTTTGTTTGTGAGTGTAATATTTATCATTAACTGTGTGACTGGTGTAATAAATCCCTTGGCAGTAGTTTGACTACCTGGTTTCCTTATAAGGGGTATAAATTCAAATTAATCCATTGTATGTTTGGCTCTTTAGCAACAAAATTAATCACTTTTATGCTAGAAAGCATTACTTAGTAGTTGTTCTGGAAAGACTCCTACAGGTCCCTAGGCTTTGTTTGAAAGAAAAACTGTGATATCTTCAGGCCACTGGTCTCCCCAAGTTTCTTTCT